GAAAAAGCATGCATTTTTCTCTCCCATGCAGTCTATTAAGTCGTCAAGGTACCTGATCCAGGATTTGGTTTGAAATAAGCTGTCAGACTTGACTACCTATTTTGATGATTAATTTGCTTTTGCCATTTATTCAAACCATATTCCCTAACTTTCCACACTTGTATTGGATGCTGAAGAAAGATTTTTTTAACTCATTGTGTGCTCTTTATTCCATTTACTTCCTTCAGTTGCTGAATTCTCTCTGGTTTTATTTATACTTCATGAATTTGAACAGATCTGCAATTTCTCATTGTTCGCTGATGCCAGTTGAAAAATTCTCCCAGACTGTTTTTATAGGGGTAACTGTCGTCATGTTTATACTACGTTTTAAGAAACGTCCATCTTTTTTTTTTTTTTTTTTTTTGAGTTGGAGTCTCACTCTGTCGCCCAGACTGGAGTGCAGTGGCCGCTCCCGGCCACCGCAGCCTCGACTGCTGGGCTCCGGCGATCCTTCCGCCTCAGCCTTCCGAGTAGCCGGAATTACAGGCATGCGCTACCACGCCTGGCTGATTTTTTGATTTATTGTAGAGATGAGGTCTCGCCTGCCCAGGCGGGTCTCGAACCCGCGGGCTCAGGCAATCCACTCACCTCAGCCTCCCAAAGGCGCGGGATTACAGGCTGAGCCACCGAGCCCGGCTTACGTCCATCTTTTTAATCTGCTTGTCTAAAATGCATTTAATTTTTAAGAGAGCAGTTGTAAAGTTGTGGATTTGACATTTTTACTTGTAAATATGCATAATTACACAGTGCTCTATCTTTTTTCCTGTGCCGATTTTATTCTGGGCTGTGTGTGTATAAGAAGCATAATTTACCACCTCTGGCAAGAATAAAGGCACCTTTGCTGTCTTCCCCTTTCGTTTTCTTGAAGCTGCTACTACAAGTCTTGTTATGTCCCCAGAGAGAGGTGCTCTTTGCTCTCCAAAGTCCATTTCTCAAGGGGACCTCAATACTCACATGGATCCTATTTACATTGTAATTGGTGGTTGGCTGACTGGTACAGCTGTTTCAACTTAAACCCTAGACAGTTGCTATGGAGATGGTTAACTAGAAATAGGTCATGTTAAAGTCCTTTTCCCCCTGGATATAATAAGGGAGTGCTGTAACTCTGGAAGTTGTCTCAGCTGATCAGAAAATGTGTAGGTAGACAACCACATCCAAAAAAGTTTCTGTTTTTAGGATGAGGTTTATCATAGAATTTAGTCCACTCGTGTTGCTGCTTCTGCTCCATAAACAACACACCTGACAACTATTTCTTCCTGTTAAAGAAAAGAAATTTGAGTGTAGCCTTGATAAAATGACTACTATATGGCTCTCAACGTTGTTTATTTCTTAAGTTTCTAAACATAGAAGAATGGCATTTATTTTCAAGACAAAACCAGGTGTTCAAGAACAAGTTTTTAAAAACATTGAGTTAAGAAGCAGTAACATTTGGAAAAGGAAGACATTCAGTGACTTTGGATGGACTTACCATAAGTTTGGCCAGAAAATATATATTAACATTTAATAAGAGTAATTTTTTTCCCCTGATTGTCGTAGCACAGTGGTTAATTTGCTCCTTTCAGGGTACATTTGGCAGTGTCTGGAGACATTTTTGTGTGTCACAGTTGGAGTGGGGAAGGGAGGGTGTGACGCATTTAGTGGGTAGAGGTCAGGAATGCTGCTAAACAACCTACCATGCACAGGGCAGCACCACTGACAAGACGTTATCTGGCTTAAAATATCAATGGTGCTGTCAATGGTGAGAACCCGTGATAGCGATACATGCTGATTCTAGAAAAGTCAAATAGTCTTCCCCCCAGTCCTTCACCCCTGTATGTACACTATTCCAGACTTTCCTTCTTATTTTACTAACATACATTTTTTTGTGTCCATTTTACAGAAATGGAATCAAATGTGTATTCTATAGGTTTCCTTGATAACATATTCATATTTCCACATCAGAATATATTTTGACATTAATTGTATAGTATTCCTTTGTGTGGAAGGATACCAAGAACAGTTGAGTTATTTTGTAATTTTAATTTGAAACAGTATTATGTGTAGATCTACTATACATTTATCTTTGCATCCTTGCTTCAGGTCTTATTCTTTTGGACCAAAAAACTAGGTGATGGCTGTTGGTCAAAGACAGTATCCCCTTCCCCACTCCAGCCAGTATGTTCTTTTCGTTTTGCTGTGCACGTAATTGAGATTGGTGATCTTCATATAGCTCTGTGACTATAAGTCTTATAAGCTGTTAGTCTGTTTTGGGTTGCTAGGGTAATGGTGAAAGATTTCGGAAAAGATAGATATCAGAAGAAATGAAAAGCAGATGCCTAGAATGAGAGAGTGAGTGAGTGTGGGGGGGGGAGGAGAAGAGGGGGGAAGAAATGAAGTCAGAAACTCTAGCACTGGTGGGGCGCCGTAGCTCAAGCCTGTAATTCCAGCATTTTGGGAGGCCGAGGCAAAAAGGTTGCCTGAGCCCGCGGGTTTGAGACCAGCCTGGGCAACATGGTGAGATCTCATCTCTACAATAAATCAAAAACTTAGCTGGGCGTGGTAGCGTACACCTGTAGCTCTGGCTGCTTGGAAGGCTGAGGTGGAAGGATCACCAGAGCCCAGCAGGTCGATGCTGGGGTGGCCATGAGCGTGCCACTGCACTCCAGCCTGGGCGACAGTGAGACTCCAATTCAAAAAACAAACCAACAAACAAACAAAAAAAAACTATAGCACTGATATGTGTAAAGTGGTATCTGAACCCACCAATTTGAATTTTAGAGACAAATTTGAAGGAAAATGAGGTGACTAGGTTCATACTTTGTATCCCACTTTTTGCAATTGCAGAATTAATTACTATATGTAAAGTAAATACTTTTAAAGCTATCACTATATCTGCTGTCTTAAATCATACTCTGAGGATTTCTGGAATTTGTAGATCTCCTCCAGGAATTAGGCTCAGTACCAGGCATATAGTGGGTGCTCAATAAACATTTGTAACCAGAATGAATTGAGGGGAAGAGGAGAGGAAAAGGGTATGGACTGAGAGGCCACTAGGGGCCACTAGGGAGAGGCCCTATGGGCTTCTGTACATACGTCAACTCCAGGGAAGTTTCCTTTTGAAGGAGTCAGAAACCATGGGGGCCTTCTGCTGCTGAAGGGTTGTGTTTGGCGTCTGTCCCATAGCTGTGCATATGTATACCCTATGGCCCAGCAGCTCCACTCACAGTGTACAACCAACAGAAACACATGTGTATCTTTACCAAAAGCCACAAAATCTTTTAAGAATATTCTCAGAGGCAGCACTATTGACAATAGCCTCAAATGCCTATTAGTAGTAGAATGAATAAACAAATTATGACTTTTAAAAACATTACTAATGGTGAAACATTTCAAAACACAAAGGGTATAAGAAAAAAAGTCATTCTGGTACCTACCACTCAGACTAAATAGAGGTTAGCACATTGCTATATTTTTCCATACTTTTTAAAAGCTTATCTATTTATTTATTTATTTATTTTTAATGTAAAAACTAGAACCTTCTGGTGATGGTGCTTAGTGTTGGGGATGGGGTAGATTTGGGTGAGTGATCTGAAGATGTCCTGAAACCCCAGAGTAGGATAATCTGAGCTTTCTAGGCACCACCTCCCTTGACATTGAGTGAATTACCTGTCATTCACACCTAAACACAAGCAGGCCAGTCAATGAGAACAGACCCAGATTAGTTTCTGCAGAGCCACGATAAAATAGAAAAAAGCCATGCCTTTCCATTCTCCTGCTGTCTGTAAAATAAAAGACCTTGCTGTAGTGTCATTTAAGGACGTAATGCCTCTTTTCCTGAAATATTGTTTAAAACTTGGCTTTTTCCATCAAATCATGATTGAAGCACTTTGAATGTTTGATTGTGTTGATGTGAAAAAAGAATGAACAAGAATGGGGTTTGGTGTTTTCAGTGATTACTGTAATTGTTAGCAGGGACATATCCTCCCTTCACTTCAGCCAAGCTCATCAGGATGCATATGATCGAGTGTAACATTGTTGTGGGGATAACCTTGAGTCTTCTCTAGTTTGTCTTAGAAGAATAATTTGCAAACATCTGTTCTTTAGCTAGTATTAGCAACAACAGTGATGATTTTTTGTGGTTCTCCTCCTGACTCATTGTCATGGGGCCATGGTGAGACTGGTTCCTTTACTGACTACTTCCTAAGTCATTAGTCTGAGTTACTAAGGGCATAATCATAAGCCTTTTATGTATGTTATAGTTCCTCCTTGCAGTAACCTGGGATGTAGGTGCTGTTACTGTCTCTATCTACAGATGAGAAAACAGGCTTGGAAAGGTTAAATAAGTTGCCAAGGGTCACACCATGAACAGCAGAGCCATGATTCAAATCTCATTTTGACTGACTCCAAAGCCTATGTTCTTAACCAAATCATTTGCTGAGAGGACCACTTGCTGTTGTTATTTTGATCAATAGAACCATAAAGTAGGAGTTAAGGTTCTAGTAACAGTATGCTTTACAGATGAGAACTCTCAGGAGCTTGATGAGTAATGAAGTTGACCAGGGTCACACAGCTAATGTTGGACTGGAAGTTGAACCAGGGAGTTTTGAAATGCCGTCCAGTTTTTTCTTTGTGCTTCCGTTTAACCTCTGACTACCTTGGTTGACCCTTGGTCCTGCACTTAATTGTATGGAGCAATACTACCTGCCATAGAGCTTATAGAAGATTGGCTAGCAGTCTATCTTCTTGAAATTCTCAGAGATACACACCATTTAATACATATTTATTTGATCACTGTGGTGCTTTAAGGATCAAATAATATGTTTTTTGTTAGAGGTTTATTTACACGTATTTATTTTTGATATTCTGCTGAAGGTATCTTGTAACCCAAATGGAAGTTGATGACTGAGATTTTTGCTGTATATACTGAGTGAGTGTTTTCTAGAATCATTGCAGCTAATCAGCCTGTTCTGGGTTGTTTTGAGGTTGCAGCTGCTCCCTGGTGGTTACCTGTGAAAGGCGCTAACTGGAGACACCCAGAAGGACCCGACTCTACTGTTTTACACAGGTGAGACTGTCTTCTCTTTCCCTAGTTGATGTGTTTCATTCCAAAATAGATTCCCTATGCTCTTGAAAAAGAACTTAATGGTCATCTTCATCTGTAAAAAGGTGAGAATGACAAGCTCTAACTGATTGGTAGGAAAATAAACTGGCATGTAATGTGTGTAAAGACATACAGACAGACACTGCACCCCACTCACTCTCAGTTAGTGGCTTCCTTCTTTCCTCATTTGTCCTGTTAAAGAGTTGCCTCTTGCAGATTTCTACAACTCTAATACCTCCACCCCCTTTTTTTGGTCAGTGTCTCACTCTGTTGCCTAGGCTGTTGTGCAGTGGCAAATCATGGCTCACTGCAGCCTCAAATGCCAGGGCTTAGACGATCCTTTACCTCAGCCTCCTGAATAGCAGGGGCTATAGTTGTGCATCACCATGTCTGGCTAATTTTTGTCTTTTTGTAGAAATTAGGTCTTGCTATGTTGCCCAGGCTGGTCTCGAACTCCTGGGTTCAAGCATTCCTCCCACATCAGCCTCCTAAAGTGCTAGTATTATAGGCATAAGCCACTGCAACCGGGTCTCCCCACTTTTGACAAGTTTATTCCAAATTTCATGACATGTTTCATCTTTACAGTCTGCCCATCTGTTCTCTTATGCAGAAGAAGATGTCTGTCTTATTGATAAGTAGTTGTGTCCTTCCAGTTTGCCAGTGTAGAAGCCTAGGCCTCAGGTATGAGTCTTGTGATCTTTAGTCCTGGACTGGCATATTTTGAGGCCACCATCTGACTGAAAAACCACAGTGCGACAAGTCGGTCAGTGAGTCTCCAGGGTGGCAAGAAAATAATTATCTCAAGCAAAAATAGGGTAGCACTTTAAACCCTAGAGATGGAGCAAGGTTTGGGTTAGGGCTCAGCAGCTCCACAGTCTAAGAAAACTGCTCTCCTAACCTAATTTTTCAGATGCAGTTTTTAAGCCTCTATTTTTAACAACATTCCTGGCTATTGCCCTTATTGTCAGGGAGTTGAAAGTACAGGAAGTTCAGCTTTAGGGATGTAACCCCTTGACAAATGTCATAAGTCTTTCAAAGCACAAAGTGGCAGCCTCTAGGCAGGAATTAGGCTCCGAGTTGGAAAGTCATAGGATTTGTGGGTACTTCAGGGGGATGAAGCTTCTTAGCTCCTTCCCTGAATTTAATAGTAGAGAAAAAGCTAAGGGAGGAAGGAATCCCTGAAGGGGAATGTAATGTAGTAAACACCCAATGAGTCAGACTTCTGAGAGGTGTCTCTCTTGTTAGTGCTGGAAACAGTGACTGGCACATGATAGGTACTCAGTAGGTGTTTGTTTAAAGAACTAATGAAAGTCCTGGTATAATTACTATAGGGAATTCAAAGATGTATGAGGAATGGACTAGGTATGTGTAGCCCACTTTAAAAAAGTGATCAGGGAGTTAAATCAAAGCCATGTGGTCCTGGGTCAATGTGTGTATCCCTTTACTCTCAAAATTTTTGTCAGCCTTCCACACCCCCTCCATACCCTCAGGAAAAGAAAAATTGACTTGGGTTTTGTTAGAGGGAAGCAAATATAGCTGGCTAGCAATAGTAGAAAAGTAGACACTGTGTAAAACCAAGTGTCACAGGTTGGGTTCTCTGGAAACAGAGGCTGAGATAGCATTTGGTGTGCAGAATCTTTATTAGGCCCCCACACCTGAGGAAGGGAGGGGGTGGACGCAGGACAGGGTAGAGGGAGAAGTGAAGCCACAGTGTAGGCCTAAGACTGTTCCAGCCAGCACAGGTGGCTCTGGGCTGTATATAGCCCATAGGTTGAGCCAGAGTAGACAGAAGTGACTGGGTCTTTATGACCCTGCTGTGATCAGTCACTGGTGGTTCTGAGGTGGCTCTTAGTTGTGCCAAACCCAGAAGGAGCTGGAAGCTTCTGCTGATGGCACTCCCAACAGCTAGAGCATCTCTTCATCTACCATACCAGTGAAATCCTGAGGGACCTGCAAAGTCAAAAGAAATGTTTTGAGTCCTAGAGGAACTGTAACCCATATGGAAGCCTAGGTTGTTAGAAACCCTTGGTAAAGGATGACAGAGGTAGCATAGCTGGGGCTTGAATTCAGGACCAGGACCACTTTGGTGTCGTGGATTGAACTAAGGATGACTATGGGTGCTTTGCCAAAGCCAGTTCCTGTTTCCTGTTCCAGTTGATGCCGCTCTTAACTCTCCTCTTGCTCTTCCCCAGGTCAGATCATCCAGTTCTCCATGTCTCCTGGAATGATGCCGTGGCCTACTGCATGTGGGCAGGGAAGCGCTTGCCCACAGAAGCTGAGTGGGAATATAGCTGTCGAGGAGGCCTGCACAATAGGTACTTGGTGGGGCTCATCTTGCCTGACAATATGTTGACCTTTTTTTTTTTTTTTTGAGTTGGAGTCTCACTCTGTCGCCCAGACTGGAGTGCAGTGGCCGCTCCCGGTCACTGCAGCCTCGACCGGCTGGGCTCCGGCGATCCTTCCGCCTCAGCCTTCTAAGTAGCTGGAATTACAGACATCTGCTACCACGCCCGGCTGATTTTTTGATTTATTGTAGAGATGAGGTCTTGCTGCCCAGGCGGGTCTCGAACCCGCGGGCTCAGGCAATTCACTCACCTCAGCCTCCCAAAGGCGCGAGGTTACAGGCTGAGCCACCGAGCCCGGCTGACCTTTTTTTTTTTTTTTAACTCTGTGGAACTTGACTTTGGTTAGAAAGTTGATTAAAACCAACAATTCTTTTTCTTACTGGGTTTTCCTCATCTCCAAGCAGTTACTTAGGAGACACTAGGGAATGGATCATCAACCCTTTAGAGCCCCAAAGCCAAGTATCTGGCCAAATGGGTTCCCTGCAGTCCCAAAGTGAGTTCTAGCAATTCAACACCTCATGTGTTACTGCTTGTTATCTCTCCTTGGAGCCTCTTGGCAGGCTGCCTTGCTTTTAGTGTTTTCTTATTTTAGGCCCTCCTGAAACAGCGGTATTTCTTTGCTTCTAGAGCCATGAGACAGAAAACTCATTTTGGGTTCACATCTTCTAGGAAAGGCTCCTTAAAATAGCCCAGGCTTTATAAAAAAGTGTGGTGTGATGGTGCCTGATCACACTACCATGTAAGTCCAAAATGAGGCTTACTTTCCAAGCATTCTTTATATACTTCCTTTAGTTACGTGATTTTATTTCAGGCCTCCTGAGTACCCGGAGGAAACTAAGGCTGCTGTAGGCTCAACATGAGCTGTTATAAAGAAATTTTTTAAAAAATTTTTGATTAAAAGCTTTATTTACTCACATTTTTTTCTTTTTTTTTTCTTTTTTTTTTTTTTTAGTTGGGTTCTCACTCTGTTGCTCAGGTCGGAGTACAGTGGACACTCACAACTCACACAGCCTTGATCTCCTGAGCTCAGACTATCCTTCCATCTCAGCCTCCCAAGTAGCTGGGACTACAGGCATGCACCACCACATCTGGCAATTTGTGTGTGTGTGTGTGTGTGTGTGTGTGTGTGTGTGTGTGTGTAGATATGGTCTCTCTGTGTTGCTCAGTCTGTTCTCAAACTCCTGGGCTCAAACAGTCCTCCCACCTTGGCCTCCCAAAGTGCTGGGATTATAGGTGTGAGCCACCAAGCCAGGCTACTTACATATTTTGTTTAAAAGACTACTCAGAACAAATGAGCAATTCTCTCTCTCTCTCTCTCTCTCTCTCTCTCTCTCTCTCTCTCTCTCATGATGTAGTCTTATTCTCTCGCCCAAGCTGGAATACAGTGGCATGCTCATGGCCTCTGCAGCCTCAACCTGCTGGGCTTAGGCAATCCTTCCGCTTCAGCCTTCCAAATAGCTGGATCTACAGACACATGCCACCACGCGTGGCTAACGTTTGTGATTTATTGTAGAGATGAGGTCTCACCAAGTTGCCCAGGCTGGTCGTGAACCCCTGGGCTCAGGCATTCCTCATGCCTCAGCCTCCCAAAGTGCTGGAATTACAGACTGAGCCACTGCGCCTGGCCATTGTTCTCTCTTTCATTGCATTCCTTCTCTTGACTTTAATCCAAAACTTGTGCCTGTTTGACAGACTGATGCGTGTGTCTTTTCTGACAGACTCTTCCCCTGGGGCAACAAACTGCAGCCCAAAGGCCAACATTATGCCAACATTTGGCAGGGCGAATTTCCGGTGACCAACACTGGCGAGGATGGCTTCCGAGGAACTGCGCCCGTGAGTAGTAAGCCTTCTGCAGGAGGGCAGCAGCCGCAGAGAACTGAGGCTTGGTAGAAGTGGGCAAAAGTCATTGCTCACTTCCTGACACCTTGTCCCCTTCCCACATTAATCCACTGTCACACATAGCAAATTTGAATAATTAATCAGATGTTATTTTTCATAATGCATTTCTCTTTCTGATTCCATGATACTTATTGTAGAACATTTGGAAAATAAGATAATAAAGGAGAAAGTTAAACTGACCTGAAATTCTGCCACCCAGAGATAACCCCGTTAGCATTTTGGTGTTTCTTTCCATCTGTTCTCTGTGTTGTTGGCATTAATAATGGCTAGTAGTTATCAAGTGCTTGCAGTCTGCCAGGCATAGTGCTAAGCCATTTGCATGAACTGTCTCATTTTACTGTTCATTCAACTCTGTAAGGTAGGTACTATTATCCCCATTTTCCAGGTGAGCATTCTGAGGCACAGAGAGGTTAACTAACTTGCCCAAGGTTACACAGCTGGAAAGCGGCACAGCTGGGATTTGAATCAGGTCGGTTTGTTTACAGAGCCCATGCTCTTAACTACCATATTTGCCAGCATATGTGTTTCTGGGGTATATATATCTTATATTTCTTACATATTGCATTTGGGTCACAGTGGATACAGTGTTTAAAATCCTACTATTTCTCGCTATTTAATATCAGAAACATTTTATCTGTCATTAACAGTATGTCACAAATACACTGTCTTTCAGCGACTAGATAACATTATATGAATAAACCTTAATTTATTCACTCTGACTTTTGAATTACTCTAATTCTTGCAAATGTAGGTTATCTCTAGCTGTATCTCTGATAATTTTTTTAAAGATAGATTCCCAGCAGTGAAATTAATGAGTCAGAAGGCAGAAAACGTTCTTGGTAAGAGTTTCAGATGTATGGTCAAATTGTTTTCCAGAATGCTTGTGGCATGTTTTCTTCTGTGTGTGTGCAAGAGTTCCTTTCTCACTGCTTTTTGCTGGAATAATCATATACAAATGAAGGCATGTTAAAAACTATCTTAATCCTTTTGTGCTGCTCTAACAAAATACCACAGACTAGGTAATTGAACAACAACAGAAATTTATTTCTCACAGTTCTGGAGACTGAGAAGGTTAAGACCAAAGCAAGATTGGTATTTGCTATATCCTCTGGAGGGAACTAAGGATGTGTCCTCATATGGCAGAAGGCAGAAGGACAAAAGTATATCCTCTTCATCCTTGAAGCCACTTATAAGGGTGCTAATCCCATTCATGAGGGTAGAGTCCTCATGACATAATCACCTCCCAAAGGTCTCACCTCCTGATACTATTGCATTGGGGATTAGATTTCAACATGAATTTTGGACGGGACACCATCATACAAACCATAGCAAACACATTTTCTTTTTTTTTTTTTTTAACACAGTGTGGGAAGAAATCTTGTGGGGAAATAGACCTTTACTGGGTTTATTGTAGAGAAATATTTTCTTTTAATCATTATTCAAGCAGTTGTGTTTTTAAGAAAATACCTGTCTTGTTTTATGCAAAAAATTCTTCTTCCAAAATTTATTTGTAAGCATGACACAGATATGTTATTTGGAACATGACCAGGTTATTCCAGAATTTCAACTGAAAAGTGAGTGAGAAAGATTAAGAAATTTTGGGGAAAGAGCAAGAAAGCACTCACCTACCAGAAATTAAAAAAATATTTTGAGCTATAGTAGTTAAAGCATGGTAGTTTTTAATCTCAGAATTAATGTAAAAAATACATTACACTAGAATACTTAGTCCTTAAATAAGTGTATGAATGCATGAGTGTATAAAATACCATATACATGAGTTACATATGTGATAAACCAACACAAACCCATGGGAAATGTATACATTATTCAGCAGATGCAAAAGACTGATCAAACCTTCTAGTAGCTGGTTCCTCTGAAGTTTCCTTTAGGCACATATTTTTATTTGGTAAAGTGAATGATTAGAGGTTTTGGGGAGGAAGTAATTTCAACCTTTTTTCAAACTTTAAATGAGTAGGAAGCCCAGCTTGCTGGTATGGAACTGGGCATGGAATGAGGGCACCTAGAGGGCCACCTTTTGTCACCAAAAGTGGTGCTGGAGGATGAAGAGAATATTGGATAAGGTGCTTGTGCATGCTCATCAGACCTCACAAAAAATGTTGGTTGTTGTGGGTGGCAGGGAGGTGGCCATTGAAGTTAGAATCTGCTAAGGAATGTGTAACAATTCACCTGAGGTTACAGCTAGCCCTGAAAATCAGTGGCGCTGGAGCATTGGGCCCATACTGCCTTCTTTGGCAGTAGACACAGGAGAGAGACTGGCAGGAGAAGGGCTTTGGCAGCCTAGATGCCCCTAATGGATGCAGGGCAGCCGCAGTAAAGCTTGAAACCTAGGATGCGGGTCTGGTGGAGCTGTAGACTCAGACTTTAGTTGTCATAACAGCAAATATTCAAAAGAGTTCTTCAAAGGTCAAAGTGCAGAAGAGCCCGTGTGGTTAGCAGTTGCACAGGATCAGTCGGTCCTGAGAGGTGTGTGAGCTTCATTTCAAAGGAACCAGGTGATGGCCTCCATCGACATCATTTGGGCAAGCCAGTGATAACTATTTCTGATGAACCAGACAACCAGATATAAGTGCCCAACTGTGTTAGCAAAAGGTCATGACAACGTTGCCTCAGACAATTATGCCTATTTGACTGCGCTTACTGCCACAGAATTTCTTTAAGTCCATGAGCTGCCAAGGAAAGTAGAGCCATTCATTCTTCTCAGGTCAATGTATCTTTTCAGAAAACACAAAGTTCAGTATGATACAAGGATGTCTAGATATAAATGTTTAGAGTTGGAACATTTGATTGGTAGTTCCAAAGTTATCTACAAAGCTTACCTGAAGAAGTTGCTATGGAAGTCACTAAGAAAAATTAGAACAGGTACTGGGAGCCCTGAAGGAACCAATTTGACAAATGGTCTGGAGGAGAAAGCAAGGAAGCCAGAGAGGGGTGACTCCACCTGGGTTTGGAATGATACTTAATAAATTCTCTGTCTTTCAACTGAAACTGTTGACACATAGAAATATCTCGAGTCCACCTAAGCTGCTCTGTTGTGTTCACATGCTCTGGTCAGGAATTTCACTTTCATAATGGGATAGACTAAAGGGAAATAGCTCTCTCACCTGATGTAATTATATATTTACTATTTCATATCTGACTTTATACTGAGCAAACCACTCTGACCACAGTGAGCCTAGAGAATTGGAGTTATATTTTTGCTAGGTGGTTGTTATACCATTATTAGTTTGTTCTGGTTTTAATGCATATCAGTTCATTCACCTGAAAACAAATGTGCCACAAGTGTTTCTCATATACATTTGTTTGCTTTCCTGTAAGGATGCATTGGTTAGTGTGACGACAGCAAGCAGTTACAATTTTTATTTTCGTTAGTGGCATACTCACATATGATAATTTTGGGGGTAGCGACCTTCATATTTTACCTCACTTAAACATCAAATTATTTAAATTGGAAAAACCCAAACTTTCTATTTTCCCATTTTATGTGTTAAGAACACCCTGGTAGGTTAAATTGCTTGCCTAACGTTAGCTGTTAAGTGCTGGTTTCTAGATAGGACCTCAGGCAGACTGGCTTGAGAACACCTCTGCCTGTGCTTTTTGTAAGTCTGAAAAATGATTTTTCCTCCAGAATGTTTGTTTATCTTTTAATTGCTCTTGCTCCCCTGGCTTCTTTTCTTCTCTCCCTAAACCAACTACATTTCTTATTTTCTTTCCTACTCCTTCTAGCTGTTACTCTATCTTGCTCTTTCTGGTCCTCTCCAAATTCTTGAAAAACTAGTTTATGCCTATGGCTTCTCCTTTGTGTCTGGCTTACCTTATGAACTCTGACCCCCTATTCCAATATCTGCTCAGACAGCTCCACTCCTGTAGAGGAGAATACCTTCAACCTGAAATTTCTCCCTCTTGGGAATTTCCATAGCATTTTCTCCTACTGTGATATCCTATCCACCCCATTCTGCCTTTTAGAATTGGATTTTGAGTTTGGGTATATTCTTTTATTCTCTCTCATTAAATTCTTTGAGGTCTTATTTGTCACCGAATCTCTCCTTACCTTTAGTCACTCTGCATGGAATTACTGAATGAACCAATGAATGAATACTGCTGTTCCCACAATGAATGCTGATTATGGAAGCAGAGGGTAAAATTTTTCAGCTTTCCAACTCATCCAGATTAAGTTCTTTTCAGAGCAGCTTCATAACTGTGATTGGAATGCTCTGAATTGCCCAAGCATCAGATGCTTCCATATTCATGTGTAGATGTGAAACCATCTGAAGCCACATAGAAATGAATTGGAGTTTATTCATTCCTTCAGTCCTACTTCATTAGTATGGAAAAAGCATTAATTTACATAAGATAAAAAACCCCAAGATAACTTGATTTTTTTTTTTCATTAAAAAAATAGAATTTTATGATTGAAAATTTTCATTTAAAAAAGTTGGGAAAAATTTTAAATCACTAAACTAGAAACCTGTTTTGCACTTACTATTATTCGGCTAAAGTTTTTTCTCTGACCCTGCCCTCTTTTATAAAAACTATACACTTTGACTCTGTGACATTATGTGACAGATTGTTTGATCTGCTTTTGAAGTGTGGAGTCATTTCTTGCTGTAAAAAGAGTACGGTTTGCCCAGACTTCCAGATTCCAGAGACTGTAAACCCTCTATTACAAATACATTTGATAATAAATTCACATTTAAAAAAATAAAAGCAAATTCCCTCAGTGTTTCAATAATGACTGAGGCTTAAAGATAAGATGGTGTGTTGCAGGTAACTGGTGAAGAGGTCAGAACTGATTTGGGATCTCTCAGTGCTGAAAGACATTCATACCATTCATATCATTTAATGTTAATTCTCCTTAGATTTCTAAATTCTCCTGGAGAGCTCAAAGCCAAATAATGCCTCTTTCTTTGTTTTTACTTTGGCCAAATTGTACTTTGACTGTTGACTATTAGAATGAAAATGAATATTCTTACTCTAAAGTTAAAACTATTGGTGCATTTCTGCACCAAAAAGTTTTTCTAAACAAGGTGAGTAGTTTGACAGCATTTTTCCCTTCTTTATTTTTAGGTGGATGCCTTTCCTCCTAATGGTTATGGCTTATACAACATAGTGGGGAACGCGTGGGAGTGGACTTCAGACTGGTGGACCATTCACCATTCTGTCAAAGAAACACTTAACCCAGTGAGTATTGTTCTCAGAGCATGTATACTGGAAGGGTAGCATCCATCCTCTGGATAGTCTGCTGTAAGAATTCCATGTGTTTGGGTGGGGGAAGGGGGTATTTACATACTTTTGAAATTAATCTTAGAATTTCCCTAAAGGGACATTAAGCACATCTTATTTCAACCTTAGAACATTTAGTAAAAGTGTTATAAGCATTTTATATTCTGCTGGATTGTGATAGTGATAGCTATTGAGAGAATCTGCTACACTTTTAGAAATTATATTCAAGCCGGGCTCGGTGTCTCAGCCTGTAATCCTGCGCCTTTGGGAGGCTGAGGTTAGTGGATTGCCTGAGCCCGCGGGTTCGAGACCCGCCTGGGCAGCGAGACTTCATCTCTACAATAAATCAAAAAATCAGCCGGGCATGGTAGCACATGCCTGTAATTCTGGCTACTTGGAAGGCTGAGGCGTAAGGATCGCCGGAGCCCAGCAGGTCAAGGCTTCGGTGGCCGGGAGCGGCCACTGCACTCCAGTCTGGGTGACAGAGTGAGACTCCAACTCAAAAAAAAAAAAAGAAATTATATTCAGTCTCATAAATTTAATCAAAGTATGATATATAAATATACAAAATTTGTTAATGTTTTATTATTGATTCTTAAGATCTCCTAAATGGTATTTATCATGAAGCTAGTTGCCTGAGTTTTGATGGGTTAAAATGTTGATTCAGCAGCATTATTTGGGGAAAATGAGAAAGGGTACATTTCTAGGTAAATGTTGAATCAGAAAGCTGAGTCATTTAGTGATTAATTCCTGTACCTCTTAGTATATCAGGCCAATGCATCATATACCTTGGGAACAGAAGACAACCATGTTTGTCTAAGTTTTACTATTCTGGTATGTGAAAAATGTTGAATGCAAATAGTATACTACTCTGCCTCTAACACCAAACTCTCCCAGTAGAATATATAAAAATTGAGATACTACACGGACATGTGTGTAGAAAAAGCTTCCTTTAAAAAGAACATCTCTGAACATTTTTTGTTGTGTGAACAGATTGGGGGGAAAATAGCATGTAAAAATTTCATCTCTAGCAAAGTAGTCATTCATAAGTCAATTCCAAGAATATATGTTTATACTAGCTAGACTAGGAACTTGATATGCTTAATTTTAAACTTGAACCTTTTGAAAACACTCAAAGGGTAACGACAAAGAAAATTCTTCAATATCTTCTTGGTTTAGGGTTAAACAGAATAATTGAAGAAATTGTCATACTCTGTGCCTCAGGTCATTTTTCAGAATGTGGGAATAAATTTGTTTGATATGCTTAATTTTTATTCACAGAATAACACGTGGGCTGCTCATAAATAATTTAGAGACACAGATCTACTTTTGGGGGGATGGGGGGTACAGATGAAGAGTTGAGTTCTTCAAAATCTGTCATCTCTCCTCATTTTCTTTTACTTCCTGGCAGAGCTGGTGGAAGTAGCGGTCAAAGAGAGCCTTTCTCTCCAAAATGAAAATAAGGTTGTAAAATACTAGGTGGGTTTGTGGTTGGGAGATGCCATTCTCTACTGGCAAAATGTGACTTGGCATTTGCTGTCAGAATCAGAAATAGAATTTTTTCCTCTCAGATAAAAGCATCTGCATGTTTGGAAGGGAGTGCACAGGCTTCAGAATTCTGGCAAGTTGTGAATGTATCTATCTGGCCATCTGCTGTTGAGCTGAGTGCTTTTTAGCCTTCAGTTTCATAACTACTTGTGTTTCTTCTAAGGATTTACGGAAAAATTCAATTTATTTTTTTTCTCCAATCCCAGGTTTTATCCTGGATGTTGCCTTTGCTCTAATGAAATTGTTACCATTTTGGGTTTCTTTCCGTCCCAGTGGCCTCATTTGCTTCCTAATTTGACTAGAGTATAATCCAACAGTTTTGAGAGCTAAGCCCCAAATCTTTATAAAACTTATATTCCATCATTCAGATCTTGGCAACTGGTCTTCATTTGCAGTACCATTGCCAGTGGACAAGCCATGATTATCTCTTATCCTGAGTTACTGCATCAGCCTCCCAGTGGGTTCCCACCTTTCCCTCTCTTTGTAGTAGAGTGATCTTTATAGAGAGTAAATCAAATGCTGTCAGTCCCCTGTTTAAAGTCCTCTAAGTGGCTTCTTATTGTTCAAAGAATAAAGTATAAATTCTTGAACTTGACTCCTGAAGGCTAAAATAATCTAGCCCTTGCTGATCTCTCTAGCCACTCCTTTTTCTTCTTTTACACACATTTAATTATGAAATTTTACAAAAATTTAAGAGTACAGAAAATAGTATAATAGGTAACTACCTACCACAGAGATTTAACATGTGCTAACGGTTTACTATATGTACTTTACTTACTTCTCTTTTAACCAAAGGGAAAGAATAAAAATTATTCTTCTCGTCAGCGCTTGGTATCAATGATATTTTTAATTTAAGCTGCTGTGGTCAGTGTGTAATGCTGTTTCATTGTGGTTTTTTTAGTCATCGTTTTTAAAAAATTTCAAATGATAACTCTAACATCAGACTACCATGTTGATCTGCTTTTGTTCTTGATTTTATTCACATCTTGTTCTCTCATACGCCTGGTTAGTTTTGATTATCAGACATTTTTGTGATAATTGTAGAGGTTGTTTGAGATCTGTTAGATAGTGTGATCTATCTCTGGAGGATTTACATTTGCTTCTGGAAATTTCTATCTCAGATTAACTTAATCCAGTCAGGAATTGTGATGATTTGAAGCAGAGTTTCAGTCTCTGTGTGGGCTAGTCTCGTTCCAAGTCACCCTAGTTATAGTCTAGGGGTTTTACCATGGCAGGCTCTTCTTCCTTGGAGGATCTTGAACTCCAGTTTTTGTTTCTGTAGGCTATGGGTCTATTGAAAGTTCTGCTCAACTTCTCGGCCTTGTATCTACTGCCACTTGAAGCAACAGACCTCTAAGGAAAACAGTAGCACCTCTCTGGGCTTCCCCTTTCTCTGGGATTTGAGCCCTGCAATTCTTCACAGTTGTGGTAGTTTTTAATCTTTCTGGTTAATTCCTTTTTCTCTTTGAGATTTAATTTATTTGCTTTTCTTCCCTAATGGACTGGGTATCTCTAGTGCTTAGCAAAGAACCTGGTATATAATCGTTCATCCTGCAATAATGCCAATTCTAGCTACCTAGAATTGGGGGTTTGATCACTGTCCAAAGTCCAGGTGTTCCAAAAGCAAAGGTTGGTTAGAAGCAGACATTTTCAGGGAAAATTTAGAACCAAAATATCCATGTGATTAGTAAATATTTCAACCCATGAACTGACCTGTTCAGTGTCATGTATTTGTCTCAGCACCATGACTAACTCACAGTGGCAAATAATTTTAAAGCTTCTTTTGTGAGCTTAGGAAAACCAGTGCCCTGTATGCAAAGGTTATTCAGGAAATATCTTTTTCTTAATCAGTGACTTCCAGGGAGCAAAAGTTAATCATTAGTTTTTATTATGTTGGGTAGTTATTTATGGTAAAAGCAGGTTGTGGAAACCTGTGTGTGCTTTGTACATAAAATTTTAGGAGAAGATGAGGTATTTATCTGGCCATATGAAGAGAGGGTTGTTTCAGTGTCAGCTGTGTGTGTGTGTGTGTGTGTGTGTGTGTGTGTGTCCATGTATGTGTCCCCTGAAGGTACCACATTAAGATGGCATTATTCCTTTCCACACAGACATAATCCAGTGCGTGGCCAATGCTGTGATACATTTTAACCAAATAATAATACATTTTTGGCCAGAAATGGTGGCTTAAGCCCATAATCCTAGTACTTTGGGAGGCTGACATGAGAGGATTGCTTGAGCCCAGGAGTTCAAGACCAGCCTGACCAACATAGTGAGACTTCTACTCTACAAAGATGTTAAAAATTAGCCAAGTGTGGTGGTGTGTACCTATAGCCCAACTATTTGGGAGGCTGAGACTGAAGAATCACCTGGACCCAGAAGATCGAGGCTGCAGTGAGTTGTGATTATGCTCCTACACTCCAGCCTGGGTGACAGAGTGAGACTCCAACTAAAAAAAAAAAGTGTGATTTAAAAAATGTAGTGTGTGTGTTTTTCCTTTTAAATTGTTTGACTTTAAGACTCATATTAATCTGTGGAAATATGTAGTGCTTTCTTTTTTTATTAAAATTTTTTTAAGTTTTAATTTTTTTTTTTTTTTTTTTTTTTATGAGTTGGAGTCTCACTCGGTCGCCCAGGCTGGAGTACAGTGGCCACTCCCGGCCACCGCAGCCTCGACCTGCTGGGCTCCGGCGA